CATTGGATGCTTCCTATCATTTGTCTCCGTGAAAATACTATATATTGGTTCTGTTCATTACAATGGGAAGTAAGCGACGAAATGAAGTCATTGTTTGAATCGTAAGTTTTTTAAATAATTATTTTGTGATATTATAGCATCTTTTTAATATATTCTAAGTCTGTATATTTGAAAAATAGATCTTTACATTGTTATTGAAGGATGGGGGATATAGTTGACAAGAAAAAAAAATGAAATCAAGTGGGTGCATATACAAGTAAGTATTTTAACTTCTTTCCCAAATTAGAATAAATATTATAATATTGATTTGATAAATTGAATTAGTTTTAATTTTTTTAACAGTGTGCTCGACGACCAAAAAGTGTAGAGTGTGGTTATTACGTGATAATTTTTATGTATGAAATTATCACTCAAGACATTACCTACTCATTTAAGAAGGTAATAATTTGTTAAAAATAATTTATATTTTACATTTTTACCCTACACTTGAATTAATATGCATGCACATATTTTTATTGATATGCAGTATTTTAACAGTTTAGAGCTATTTTTCAAACAAGAACTGAGACATATACAGAATATGTGGTCTACTTACTTTCCAAAATTAATAAGTTAGAGTAAATAGTTAGATAGATATTTGTATTGGATATATAGAAATTTTAATGAATATATTTGTAATTGTCTTTGGAGCTGTTGTTTATGTATATATGCAGGCTTTTGTAATTAAGGGATTGAATGAATACCGAATATGCATTCTTTTTTTTAAAAAGGACACATACGGCGACAGTTGTGTACCAAACTGTAGTAAAATATATCTTTTCGCAACAGTTGTGGTGATAACTGTCATTAAAAGTGTATTTTTCGCGACAGTTCTAATTATAACTGTCACGAAAAGTACCCATAAAGGATTGATTTGCTAGCTATTTTTCACGACAGATGTTATTATAACTGTCGCAGAAAATTGTAGTTACAACGATAGTTATTAATATAACTGTCGTGGTAAGTTTAATACTTTTCTCTACCTCTTGAGACTGTCGTAAAAGGTGTCGACTTATAACTACACCCGTTTCTACTACACCGCTTCTTGTGTCGCGAAAGGGAGTTTTCAACTGTCGCGAAATATGCTTTTTGCACTAGTGTCTTTAAATCTTCAAGAGGAAACCCTATTAGACCATACCCTTGCTTCATCTCCAATGAAGATTTGAGAACTTGAAGCCTTGAACAAATCTTAGGGATAGGATGAAATTGAGATGCAGAGGAGAATGAGATAGGTTTAGTGATTTGTTGGAGAAATAATGAGAGAAATATGAGTGATTAAATGAAAGAGAAAGTGGATGAGCAAGTGAGAAAGTGAGAGAATAGTGTTTGAAGGAGAGAAAATGAGAGAGAATCTGAATGGGAGAGCTAGTACACGAAATATGATAGAAGGAAAATGAGAGAAAGTGTGGAAAACTTATTAAGTGGTTGTGGTCTTCAACCTCCCTTTGACTTGGCCAAACTACCTTCACAATTGTGGAGGGAAATGGTGCTAATTTTTACGTGATCTTCCAATACCATGCAATGCACCACTTCTTAACTTAACCTACACCTCGTTATTTTTTCAAAAAATACCCATAAGGGGATTATCATTATTTTTTATATTGTATTTGCCAAAATAAAAATTTACATGAATTTTAAGTATTTTTAATTTTAATATTAAATATAAATTGTACAGGATACATATGTTGAAAGTCAATTTATAAAAATTATAATTTTTTGTAACATTAAATTATTCCTTTCTGATTAAATCCAAATTAATAATAAAAATATTTTTATAATTTTTAAAAAGATTAAATAAAAAAATTAAATTTGTACACTCCAAATTAATAGGAGGCCCAATAAGGATGGAGTTGGCTCCTATTTGGTCAAAAGTTGAGAAAAGGGTGAGGAAAGCGGGACTTCTTTGGTTCCCATCAAATTGGACACATGGCACAATGCAGAACGCTGGATGAAATGAACGACTTTGATGTGTGAGCCGAACAGGGATGCATAAAGAAAGGACGCGTCGGGGACCAGTATCCCGGTTTTGTATTGTCCTCTCCTCCGTTATGAGCTTTCTTGTTTTGTTGAGGTAGGGGAAAAATGTAAAGACAACCAAAAAACAAGGTTTATGCTTACATGAAGAGTATGCCTATTTCAACAAATTTCTTACAAAATTCAATTTGAAAAAATAAAGTTTTATCCACTAAATCTCTTTTAAATTTTTACTAAGTAAAAAAATATTTAACTTGTCATACAAGCTCTAGAAGCATATTTTAGACCATATAAAACCTTTTTTAATTTATAAACATGATTTGGCAAAGATAATTTTTCAAATCTTGGAGATTGTTCGGTATAAACTTTTCATTGATTAGTCCATTTAAAAATGTATTTTGAACATCCATTTAAAAAAATTTAAAATCTTTTATACAGGAAAATGCAAGTAAAAGCCTTATTGCCTCAAGTTTGGCAACTAGAGAAAAAATTTAATCATAATCAATACCTTTTGATTACAATCTTTTGCAACTAGTCTAACTTTATTTTTTACTACAATTCTAATTTTATCAAGTTTATTTCTGATCTGTTATATTAAAATTGGGATGACTTTTTAACTTTAATTTGTAGGCTCAAGAAAAAAATGCTAATAAAATTTGGCTCGAAAATGGGGTGGATTGAACTAAATCTAACTAAAATATTCTAGTTTTATTCTGATTTTTTTATTTTTTTTTTCAATAAATCAGTTTTGTTCGGTTTGTGAAAGTGTTGTGTGTTCATTATTTTAGTCTTGAGTCATTAAAACCAAACCATACATATGCGTGTGCGCGCGCGCGCGAAAAACCGAACCCTATATTGGTAGACATAATTGCCTCCTATCTAAGCTTTTATTCTCATGGATTATTTTATTTTCCCTGAATAGAAATGTAAACATTCATTTAAAAGATTAAAAAAAATATTTATGTGAGACACTTATTTTTAATCCCAATTATTATCCATCACCTTTCACCAGATAAATATGATATAATTAGATGTAGGCTACGTCTATATAAATAAATTGCTTATTTATGAGGATTTAAATTTTAATTCATCATGTTGTAAGGAATTAATTTTAAACATAACCCCTATTAGTGGAATTGTCATTATTTAACTTGTTATGCGTTATGAATGACTAACCTACCATATGCTTTCTATTATTATTGTTATTATTTTGTTATTATAAATAAACCTTAAAAAATCCAAATAAAAATTATAACAGAATCACATTTAACTGAGAATCGATGTTTGTGTCTTTTTATCCTTCAAAATTATTGGTTTGAATCATTAAATCTTTGTCACCGAAATAAAATCATTAAATCTTAACCTGTACACCACTCCACTCTTGACCCATATATACTTAAACTAGTTTCACGTGGCTCGATAAATATGATTTTCATTTGGCACTGAGATATACTATTAGTTGACAAAATATAGGGTTATTCTTGAGTTTATAATATAATATAATCCTAAGGATTTAAAATTAATTATTTATTTATTTAATTATGAAAGTATGCAGTTGAGATATTCTCTCTCTCTCTCCGTTTTTTTTTTTTTTTTTGATAACCTAGCTAACTCTATCCTACAGGAAGGGGATATATAGGGCGGAACCAACCTTCAAATTGTAGGTGGCCAATTTTTAAGAAAATAAATGTATATTTAAATTTTTAAAATAATTTTATCAGTTAAAATGCATTATTATATGATAATTATTAGAAGTATAATTACATAAGCATTTCAAGAAAACTGAAAAAAAATACAAGATACCATATATCTATTATATTAATTATGAGAAAAAGTTAAATATAACAAATACAATGCTTATATTATAAATATGTTTTCATTTGTCATTACATATTGATGTTTTAAAAATATTAGGATAGAAAATAATAAATTTTTATGAAAAAAATTAATAAACCAATAAATTCATTAAAAAATTAAATGTTTGATAAATTTAAATTATTTTTAATTTATATTGTGTTCAAATTGAATAACAAAAATATTAAATATAGATTCATAGAAATAGACAATTTTTATGATGATGAATTTAGTACAATTTAATTAAAAAAGACTAGATGTACGTATATGCCATAAATATGAAGTACTTTTCCTTTTTACAAATGAAAAGGGAATATTAATAAATAAGTCAATATAATATATATTGTTTTCATTGAAATATATTCCTTCCTATCCCATTTATAAATCACTCCAAATATTTTCATCAAAATTAAAAAAAAAACTTAAACCTCATTAACTATATATAAAAATTCAATAAGTTTCATCTAACTTTATCCACGTTAAATATATATATTTTAAAAATAAAATAATCTAATATTTAGTAATTAACTTTTCCAATATTTAATAGAAATAAAAAAATAAAAATAAATACAATAATCATTGACAATTATAAATAAAATCAAAACAATTTTTTTCCCTAGAAGGGGTTATACACACCTAGCAAACAGCACACAACAACCCACACTAGATTATTGGCTAGATATCCTCTCTTGAGATCCTTTCTTTTTCTTAATTAGTTACTTCCTATATTACTTCCCATTTTTTCTCGCTCTAATCCTCAAACTCGTTCGCTTTTAAAATTTGAACTCGGCTACAGTTTTGAAACTTGAAAAAAAAAATGAAATTATTAAATAATGTAAAAAAACATGAGAATAAAGTGATGAAAATATTTATTGGTGAAATGCTGAACTTAATTAAACCCTTCAACATTTTCTTCCTCCTTCAGACTTGTTCCTATCCAGTTTATTGTTCCGATCCGCATTTTACTTGAGAAATGTCATCGTGTAACTTTGCATGATATAACTAACTAATACTATAAAATTTATTTTTATCCAAAATTTGATATCATATAAAATATCATAACATATAACTATATTTAACGTTAATTTAAATTTAAATTTCCAGCTGACAACTAAAAATCTATTTAAGATGTAGGTAGCCTTCCCTTCCACTCCCCATCTATCTTATCAAAATTCGTGGTTCACAGGTTAGTCCTTCTAAATTCTAGTGCTTCATATCTTTACCTTCTTCTTTAGCTTCTATATAATCTTAATGTCATTATTTTAATAAAGGCATGTATAATTCATGTAATCTGTTAAATATAGTCTTTTCTTTCTTTAATTTCTCATGTAAAAATAATGTGGACTCGTGGTATATTAATTTCATACCTGAATTATATTATTATATCTTCTATAATTTCATATTTCGCCATTTCATCCCCACCAGGTGTGAGCACATCAGAAACAACAAAGACAAGCAAGGATAATGGCACAATCAGAATCAGGCAACAATCTTATGGATCATTCGAATGAAACTGAGACCAAGTGGAAAATTTCTGACAAAGGTATAGTTCTGAAAGAAACACCTGAACCATGGATTCCAAAGGTATTGGACATTGATCCTTTGAGAGAAAAAGTACTTTTGGATGAAATGGAAAGATGCATAATTGAGACTGAGAAATCTGAATTTTATCGTAAACTTAAAGAACAATTGCAATCTCCACTGATTTCTAAACACATGCGGAGGGTTTTGGGATCGGAGTCGAAGATGCAAGTGATAATTTACGGTATTGGCAATATTGAATGGCATGAGAAGAGAAATAGGATGCAACTTAGTCTTCCAATATTGATGAAAAAAGACTTTACATGGATCGGAGATATAGAAATATTTGATCCTATTCTTCAAACTATTGAATGTCGAGTTATGAAAGCTTTAGGCTGTTCCGTTTGCTCATTCAATGAACATGGAAGGAGGGAGGCCCTAAAGCCAACTCTATTTTTCATGCCATTTTGTCAGAGAACGTTAATCGACAACCTCCTACAAACAAATTGGAAAATTAGTCTGTTGAAGAACATTGTCTTGTTAGGGAACTCTTTTAAGAGAAACATTGATATTTCGGTTAGGCATCTGAAGTTAGTTTCTGGGGATGATCAAAAAATAAAGAAATCAGATTTAGGGTATATTTGGGTTGCTAAAAAATTTGCAAATGAGTTTCCAATCAGAACAAGATTCGATGACTATGGTCTTCCTGGTTATGATGAATTGCCCGGTCGTAATAGTTTCCATCCTTTTAAAGGTTTAAGTTGGCATTTTTTCAGCAATGCTACGGAGACAAAGTTGAGTCTTGATGAAGGTTACTTAGATGTTAAGAAATATTTATTTAAGCATATATAAAATGCTCGTATTCCAGAACAAAATTGTTAGTTTTTAACAACATTTGATGTTTATCATCTGGCCAATAAAGTACGTGAAAGATTGTACTCTTTTTTCTATTTCAAACAAACAAATTATATCAGAATAAATTGTTCTTATTTCTCCTTCTTTTATTGGTTCTTGTGTATTCAATTTTGATTGACTAGCTCGTTGATAGTTTTTTTAGAAACATTACAACATGTTTGCTTTTTAGGAAAATTTAAAATATGTGGCAAGAACTATGAAAACTGGCACTGATAACCACATTTCATTAAAATTGTTGTTTATCACATAAAATAGGCAACATTTATGAACTGTTGTGAGAACATTAAATAGGCAAAATGTAATATTCCTTTTCCACCTAAAATTCAAACCTTGAATCTCTTCAATAGAGTTGGCAACTTTAACCACTCTTCCAACATAACTATTAAATATTATAAAGAAAAATATTATACATACATACATACATACATACATACATACATACATATATATATATAGATCATTGTTAAATTAATTTTTGATTAATTTTAATAATAAATTAAAATTAATAAAATTAATAAATAAAAATATATAAAAAATTATAAAAATCTATAAAAATATTTTTTTATGGGAAGAAAAACAATAAACAACAATTCTTAAATTCTGCCAAAAAAAAACTTATATGTAATATTTGTATTTTTGTTGCCTATTATAATAATAGGAAAGAGTTTGGAAATGTTGCTATAAAAACAAAACGAGCATATGTACTTTCAATTTTAAAAGATATATAAGCATATATAATTATTGTTTGAATGACATTGGAACTTGGAAGGGATTTGAGCGTGTGTGAAAATAAATTAAAGGGTGAAAATAAATTTTTAATGAACAAAAAAATTAAAATATTTTTTAAAAAAACTAATTCTAGAATTAAAATTAATAATTTTTAATTTTTTATATACTTAAAATTTACCTATTATTTTTACATAATACAAACTTATAAATTTATAAAAATAAATTTAAAATTTTTAAGAAAATTATAAAAATTTAAAACCGTAGAAAAAATATATAGTAATAATAAAAAAAATTTAATACAAATTAATGCTACAAAATAATTATTTTTTATAAAAAATAAAAAATATATATCTTCGAGCTAAGCAAGGCAGGCCTACCAAACAGGTTCTTAGATGATAGCAAGGGAATGAAGGAGCCTGCATGTCTTTATCAGGAAGAAAAAAATAATTATATAAGAAGTACGTTTGAAATAATTAGATTATAATGTTTATTTGAAATTCTAAAAAAATTAAAACAAAATGCCCCTTTAATTATCAAAACACGATGTTAAGATATTATAAGTAAATTTTTTTATTTTTAAATTAATATTTTATTTCATTTGGATTTAAAATTATATAAAAAAAACTTGATCTATAAGTATGTTTATTTTGTTCAAACATTTGTAAATACAAATAATTTAAAAATAATGAAAATAAATCCTCTCTATATTCAGCATTTTTGTCACAATTCAATTAACATTTTTTTAATTTTTTATCCCCCTGATTTAGTATTTAAAATATCAAAAATATAAAACAAAATAAGGTCTGGGACTGCTCCCTTATGAACAATTAACTTAAAAATTCAAAAAAGATGGTCAAATAGGATATCCTTCGAGTGAAAAAAGGAAGAAAGAAAAGGTCCAAGAATTTTAATTTTTATTTCTAAACAGGGCCTTAGAGAATTTATTCAAAAATGAGAAAAAAAAATTACCTGCTTAGCATTATATGCTTAATATATTTATATTCAATTAAATTAGACCAAGTGAATTTCAAAGTGCTCATAATATTAATAATAGAGTATTTTTTATAGAATAGATAATATAAAAAAATTCACAAGTCTTAATGTAATTGTAAACAAGCGGTTTAAATATATAAGACTAAATATATAGATATTTTTTAAAAAAATAGATCAGTTTAATTTGGTGGCTTAGAATAAACAAAAGAAAATAAAAATTTCAATAATAATAATAATGAGGAGGAGGAGTCCTCCCCTCTCCCTTCTTTCTAATTTCCAACCATTAAATTTAAAATTATTGGATGGTCTAAATTTGTTCTCTTCTAAAATATTTGATTTTATTTTATTTTTGCTGTATTTTTAACTGTTCATATCAAATGAGGACCTAGGCCATTATTGGAATTTAGGAATAACTTGGGACTTATCTACAATCAAATTAATCTATTGAGACCTATTTAATTTATCCTTTCATATTTGAACCAAAAATCTAATAAATAATAAATAAATAGTAAATCATTAGGCCGGATGAAACATTATGGGGCCCCGAGGTGAGATAAAATGACATTGAGGGCCCAAACAATAGAAGGTTTAGCAATGTAATGGACAAAGTTTAATGATTCAATTGTGCATGCTAAATTTTCTATTGTTATAGGTCCACAGAATAATTTTTCTCATGGCCTTGATGGTGGTTCTTCCAAATATTATTAGGAGAATGACAGAAAAAGTCTCCAAAGTGAAAATTAATTACAATTAATTCTCTGACATAATATTATGAAAAATGAATTGTAAATATTAATCTAGCTAGTTATATACAAAAATCTCAATTCAACTGAATTTATATTTAAAATTTAAATATATTATTTGTAGTTTTGAATTTATAATTATTTGAATCAATGTTTGTAACTTTTTTTAAAAAAATTAATAGCAAACTAAATCTCATTAATTATCTCTTTTTCAGACTTAGCGGCCATTTCTCAATGTTATTGAATAACGCTGAAAATGGAGATATAGATTCAGATGAAAGGTGATCTTCAACCACATAAAAATTCAAGAATAAAGCTCGAACTTAGAAAAATCACATGCACAGTTACTCTTTTTCCTAGATTTTAAGTTTAAAAATTAAATAAAATAAGAAAAAAAATGCAGGCACATGTTTCTTCTAGGGACTTTTTTTTCGAAGTCTCAAATTCAAAATAAAAAATTTTCAGAGTTTAAATTTCTTTAATGAAGAAAAATATTTTTGATGAAAATTAAATTTTTGCCAAATTTTTCAGTTCAGTTTTATAATTTAAAATTTGAATAAAATAGTAAATTATCTCCTAGATTATAAGTTTAAAAGTATATGGGATCATAAACTCTTTTTTTTTTATAATGTTCTTCAATTTTTAAAAACTATAGGTGCAGTCTGATTGTTGCTATTACCAAATGTTAACTTTACTCATAGTTGCACAAAAAATAAATTTAGGGTTTCATATTGCTTTTTGACCTATAATTCACAAGTTAAGTTGTTTTTACCCTTAAAATTTTTTACTTAAAAATATTTTAAGGGCATGAATAGAACCTTGAGTTTTAACTTTACATAATATTTTAGTAGAATCTCTTAATTTTAATTTTATAAAGTGTACTTTTAATACTCTAATATTCTAACATTGTTAATTTTATTGACTTAAAATGTTAACATTGTAATTTTAAATGCTTGAAAAGAATTTATATGCAATTAATTTTTCAATTATTATTTTTAATAAGTTAAACTCAATATATATATATATATCAGTATTTAAAATTGCATTGTGGGCATTTTCTACCAATAAAACTATCGACTTCATCATCATTATTTTTGGCCAAAAACTAACAACTTCATTAGAACATGCAGAATGAGAAAATATTGGCTACATGGGTTTTTTATGGGAGCAAACATGTTTTTTTTACGAGGCATGCAAACACTACACCAATTGGCTAATCTTCCAAGATAAATTTACACTTGTAATGATTGCTGGCAATGGACGCGAGTATGCAATATGTATATAATGGCATTTCTTCATTTCACTTTCAGTTTCATTTCTCCAGTTTGTCATCCTTGCTTTTATCATGCCATACCTTTGCTTCCCTTGCAATAACTTCTCTGATGACAATTTTTGCCGTCGATGAAGGCGCCGCATCATTATTGCGGATGATATACCTGTAAGGCAAGTCCTTGAAGGCCTTCCTCTTCCTAGCACTGCCTTAGCCTATTTTATGGGTTTAGATGACATTCATGTTACCCAGCAGACTTTGGCTCTTCAAGGTGGCCCTTTCACCTGTGCAACATGCAATATCAACGTTGAAGCAGGCGGAGTGGCCAAAAGGCTAGAATGTGGGCACATTTTTCATGCACAGTGTCTTGAATCTCATGTGCAAAGGGGTAACAGATGTCCTGTTCCAAACTGTGATCGTCAATTGCCACTTGATGATCTTATCACTCGTTGGGTTTTATTTCGCAGTCAAGGAGGTCAAGGTGGAGAAGTTAATAATGAAATGGGTCAGCAGGGTGAAGATGGTGAAGAAAATCATGTTAATGATGGCGGATTAGCCAATGGTTATATGACTGAAGATGATCAAGATGACAGGGCTGATCATGAGGCAGAAGCTAATGGCTATGTGGTTGATGATGAGGATAGCCAAGATGAAGAAGCTAACAGTGAAGTAGGTCTTGATGAAGAAGATCAGGATGGGGAAGACCTTCATGATGAAGATCAAGAAGAAGAAGTGGATCATGATGATGAAGAAGATGACGATGAAGATCAAGATGAAGAAGAAGATGATTGAGGACCATTATCGATCATGGGAATGTTAATAATATTTAGTTTTTGGTTAATAATAATATTTAGTTATATTATCATAGACTGAGTAGTTTGTATTTTTAGTTGGAGAATTTATTTCCAATTAAAAGTTAGAAGTATTTTATTTTGATGCCTGAACTTCATTTAAAGTTATATCTTTAATTGAAGACTTAAAGTTAGTGTTTGATTTGAGTATTGATAAATATAATGAAGATTAATATAATTTTTTAAATTATGAGCCATCTTTTACTTAACCGGTTAAGGCAAAGGTTTCCCTCAATACTAAAATTCCAAAAAATATTATTTGTATGATTCTTTAAACGTACTTGAAAAGATTTAGTCAAAAAAAAAACATGATTAAAAAGATATAAAGTTAATATAAAATATTTGATCAAAATGTTGAGGAAAATCTAATCCTTAGCTGCTTATAATTTTATCAAGTTTAGATTCAATCCCTATAGTTTTACTTTTCAACAAGAAAAAGTAAGCTATACAGATACTCTGTTTACCTCTGTTCTTGATATAAAAAACAGAGGTAAATTACCAAAGAAAGTAAAGGCTTTTGTGAAGTACTAAATTGCTCGAGGAGGTAATGGATTTTGTGTAGTCTTAGAAATAATAGGGTTGGGAACAAAAACCAAGAACACCTGATATATTACTAAACGTGACTGCAAATTGATACTAGTATGAATTTAATCTGATATTACTAATTAAGTCTGCAGGAAAAAAAAAATCTTCAGCCTTAGCCAGCCTCACTTTCAGAAATCGTCACTCTGATTAAAATAATATCAAAAGAAAATGTCCTAAAAGAAATTCAAAATGACATAACATAAATCAACCATTCTAAAAGAAATCAAGTTGATTCAGACCAAGTGTAAAGAAAACATATGCTAGTTCACAATAAACCTAAAAAAATGGGCATTATTATAAAAACATATTCCTGCTTTGTTTTAAGTTCAATCCAAATTAATTCAGGAAAGTACAATGAAGCAAATCTTTTAGGATGCTTTATATTTAGAGCTAGCCCCACGTTTCAAGCAAGCAAATCTCATATCAAAACAAGATCGGTTAATTTTGTTTTGAACCTATAGAATTTGATTTTGAGTTCTGCAAAGTATATTGCTTTCAGAATTATACAAAAAGGCGCACTAAAGCACCATGGGGTCAAAAATGACTCATTCCACACGTACTTGAAAATATTTTTAGGGTTATTTCAATAAAAAAATATATTGTTAAGGTTATATATAGTCCATAGAATATGTTGTTCTACAGGATATATCCAATGACACTGGCACACTTCAGAGTTTTGAAATTATTATTTTGACCTGAATACCCTTCAGAGGTTAGATCGTTGTCATGCCAAACCCAAATGAAAAATGAGTAAACAATTATACAAATTTTTTCACCAATTAAACAAAGCAGTACAACCAACTGTCATGCCAAACCCAAATTAAGGGGGGGAAAAGAGACAATTATACAAATTTCTTCACCAATTACAAGCATGAAGAAACTAATAATATGAAAGGGAAAATAAGATGTTAAATCTACAGGAAGTCCCCTCTTCATGAACTACCAATAAAATATTTTTTTACTCGACTCACAATGCTTGCATGTCTATTTAATTAGATGTCGGGGCAACGATGTAAAAATATTATAGCTGTCAGGGATATTAATTAGACAGCAGAATTTTTGTTAGCTGTCGGATAGGTTGTCACCTGACCCTAAACCCACTTTCGGGCACAAGCTTTCTCAAGTTGACTTTCAGGAAATTCTGAAATGTTAGGAAGAATATTCATAATTTTATTTTTAGATAAACAGGATATTCTTAATTTTAAAATTTACATTTCTCATTAAGTCTAGAATCACATATATCTATATATTATCTTTATTTCTCTATCCTAATTTGAATATCCTATCCACTATCACTAAGGTATATAATTTAATGCATAATGATTATTTTAGTAACATTCATGTGGGGAATATTATTTTATTCATCAACGTATTGTATATGTAGCATATACCCCCCGGGTATTGAACGAATTCTAAAGTGCGCACTAACAAATGTATAAGTAATTGATATGGCTCGTAGTGGCACTGTGTTAATCCATAATGTTTTGTTTGGAATAACAAGAAAATAAGATGACAAAATTAAAGAAAAATGGTACTTTCCACTTTATTTTCTTCTAGTTTTCTTTTAGCTGGATAAGAGAAATTAAAGGAAAAAGAAAAACTTTAATTAGAAGAAAAAAATCTTCATCTTTCTGATTTACTTTTTTTTAATTGTTTTATTTCTTATTTTGTTTCGATTGCTTTTGGGAATTTTTTTTAATTAAAGGTAATGTTCTTCGAATCAATTACTAGTAGTAGATCTAAGTTGAGTTGGGGGTGGGAAAATACCCCTACTTAACTTAAAAATATTTACAAGTATATATTATAAATTTTGAAATTCTACACCCACTATCCCAATATTTTTGAACCCACTAAATTCAAAATAAAACACATTTGAGTTCTAAAAAAATTTAAAATTTTAATATTTCATTTAAGTCTAATAAATTTTAAGCTCTTAACCTGTTAAATTTAAATTTATATTATTTTTTGGTAATATAAATTTATATTATTTTTTATAGTATTTAAATTTAATTTTACCTTTTATTATTTTATATTTTATGCGTCCACTAATTCAGGGTCTTGCATCCACCACTGTCAAACACTTATTTTAACGAGAATCTGAAGATTGATTCATTATGGTACGAGGGATAAGTCATTTTCGCTAAACTCAAATATGGTTGATTTTCTTCTTCTTTTTATTTGTTTTTCTATCCCAAACGCACAGTAAATTAAAAAAGGTTAACAGTAACAGTACAAAAACTAGTATTATTGGTGGCATTTGTAAATTATTTAACATTATGAGTCATACTTGAGAATGCAAATGATCTCTCCCCGCTGGAATAATTCTACTTAATGGGAGCTCCATATTATAGCAAAATAAATTCTCACAGGAGATTATAGTCTGCTGCTAAATAGGTTTAATTAAGTGACGAAACATTAAAGTTGCGTTTATCATTAGTTAATTATAACTAGCTAGCTTGCTCTCTTAAACACAACACTAATCGGTTCGAGCTTGTCGGCCAGACCCAGATACCTTTTCTTGTCATCTGCAACATAAATGCCGAGGTCGCTGCACGTGACGGAGCATTTGCAGACATCAGTGGGACAAAACCTGAGCTTATAGGGGCTGCCACTTTTATCAGAAGATAATTTCTCGATCATGAACCAGTTGACGAAGGTGTTCATGTTAGGGTTTCCTTCAACGCCATCCGTGCTGATAAATCTCGCTTCCGATATCCTTTTCAGCAGCCTCCACACCATGGAGCTCCCACAGGGTTTCGCCGACGATGTTATGGAAAACTTGAAGTTCAGATTCGTGGAGGTTTGAATCACACGGGCTCCTGGATTAGCTGGTGAAAAAGTTACCGGCGGGAATTTGAGGGAATCAGTTTTCTGTTGGACATGGACGACGACAAGTGGGCAGGTGTCGTTTTGATAGCCGGAGAGAGTAAAAGTGCCTCCGGTGGCCGGAAGGATCTGGTATGGGACGCCGGGCAGGAGCTCTTTGCCTGAAGTGTCAAGCACCGCCGAATCAGGACTCGCAGCTCTCAAGGACAGTGGTTTCGCGGGGAAGGAAAGAAGAGAGAAGAAGAAGAGAGGTAGAATTGGAATATTACTCATTCTTTGAGATATTTTTGTTGTTGCTGTGATAATGGAGGGAGGAACAACGAGGTCCAATTTATAGAAGAAATGAAATGCGGCTTCGCTGGAGGCCAAGAGCACATTATTTTATTTTTAAAAGGGGAAATTATCAATAATCACCTTACAAAAAAATTATTGATAATTATAAATAGGGAACTTAGATTTAAGAAATTTAGTTTTGTATTTTTATCATTTATAAGAAAATATAAAATTTTGGATTTTTTAAACAATAAAAAAAACAAAGCTATATCATTTCATCACGATAAAATATCCAAATGCAATAATTTTATATAAAATATAATAATAATAAAAATATTGGAATATCGGAGCCATTAGAAGCCCCACCCAAGCTTAAAATTATTTTTTGAATTACGGGTGGTATTTGTGAATTTTCTTGTGCGACTTGTAAATTTCCAATTTAAGACAACCCGAAAATTAATACAGAATTGTAAATCATTTTCGTGCAACTTGTAAATCTCTTTAACAAAAAAAAAACAAAACAAAACAAAACAAAAGATTTGCCAGGTTTCAAGTGCCCACTTTTGAAATCGAGAAGTGGCACCATTGTAATAATTTCCCGAGAATTGAGAAAAAAGTAGATGGCGTTTGATGATTAATTGACAACTGGATAATGGATCCGACATGACAGCATGGGTTTCCAATCTGTGTGTGTGTTTTTTTCCCCATTATATCTTCTATATAAAATTCAACCGTTCAAATTAAATTTAGATTTTTAAAAATTATCAAATTTAATTTACAGTTCAGATTTATAGTAATCTGTTATTTGCTCTTTTTCGCAGATGAAAAAAATCCAATTCCATTTCAAATTTCCAACACGAAACACGCTCAAAGTCGCCAATAGAAGTCATTCCATGATCGTTTGGTTGAATGGAAATGAAAGGGTGAGGAAAAAAAAATTCCAATGATTTTCAATTTTTTAAAAAAATATAAAAGTAAGGGAAATTAATTAAAAATTTTAACCCCACTTTTCTGTTTTTTAAATTAAACTCATTGAAATATTCTATCCCTTTCATTCTCACCAACCAATAAGTCACTTTCCGAGTAGATAATTGTATCGATGGTCATCCGCTCATGTAGTTAGGCATATGTTATATTTTTTTCTTAGTAGAGTATTAGGAAATTGTATCGGTGTAGAGATATTAATTTTTTTACCGTGTAGTAACATTTTATTAGAAAAGGCATTAGACACGTGGCGGAACAATATGTTAGTTTTGGGATAAGTGGAGGCGCACTAGACGAGGATCACAGTGGAGAGACACTGCTCGCTCGAAAAGAAAGCAAGATTATTGGACTGATAACCACTTAATTTCAAGTTGATGGTCCGTGCAAACTCCAGGCCAACACTTGTGAGCAAGAGTAAATCTTCCTGTGTGCCTGCGCTTAATATATACTGCCACTGTTTTGTTTTATACAATGTTCTTTGTGTTTTGATCTGGTATCTAAAATATAAGATATTTTAAAAAAAATAAGATTTCTTGATGATAATTATTTCAATATTATCTTTTAATAGGTCATCCTTTCTCTCTTAGTGTTGAAGAGTAATTTAAGAAGTTTATGGAAAAATTAAAGTTATAAATTGTATTCCTCCATTCAAAAATGTAAAACATTTTTTGAGAAGTTAAATGTTTAAAAATATAAGACATTTTTAATCTTTTGATGTGTAATTATTGCCTTCTTTTCAAAAGTATCCTTATTAATAATGATTTTATATTTATTATAAGGTATTTAATAAGGATAAATATGAAAAGATAGAGTTGGTTGAAAAGTAAGTAACTACTTTTAACGGGATGAGATTCAATTAAAAATGTATTATATTTTTTAATAGAGAGGGTATTCAATAAACTTAATTTATTGATATGTATAAGTTTGTCAAAAATTATCTTATAAATTGGTACGGAGGGAATAGATACCCTCTTCTATGCTTTTTATAAGTTAGAGAGAAAACGTTATTTGTCTTATTTACAAGGCAAGCCATTGAACATTAATAAGGTAACGTGCGTTGTTGAAAATATGCATATTTAATAAGAGTAAAATTATAAAGTTAAAAATTGATTAAATTTTTAGATATGATTAATAAATTTTAAATTTTTTTAGTTCCTATAAAATCTATTAAAAGTAATTAGTAAATATAACAAGTGAGAGTATATATGTAATAATTTAGTATAGATTCACAGAAGAAGAGTAGATGATTTGAGTTAAGCCCAATAAGCTAACTTAAATAAGCTCAAAAAGTTTAAGTATGAGTTTGAAAGTTTAAAATATTTTCATAACTTTAAGTTTATTTAAGCTGTCCAAATAAATATGTAAAAATCTGGGCCAAGTCGAATCCAAGTGGGCTTAGCCCAAGTACCAAGATTCTTTTTTTATTAATAAAATAATGCAAAAATAAAAAATGTTATTTTAAAAAATAAAAATTAAAATTAAATAAAAATAAAATAAAATAATATTTAACAATTTAGATATTTGGGCTAAGCTTAGCTATATGAGGTTTTTTTTATATGGTAGGATACTTTTTAAGTTTGGCCCAAATTGAGTTCGACCCATTCGAATTACCAGCTCTACTAAAACCTAATAATATGGAAGAATAATATTTTTACTATATTAAATTATAAGACGCTTTTAGATAAAATCATATAGATCAATAAAACTCATTAATTACACTTTATAATTTTATTTTTTAAAAATAAAAATATAAAATTTTAAAAATTCTCTTCATTTAAGATGGAGAGAGAGGGTAATATTAAATAATTATCATTAATAAAATTTTATTTTTGTCTAAGTGTCATGTATTTTGATATGCCAAATTTTTTTTAAAAGTATCTTATACTCCTTCCATTATAAATTATAAAATACTTTTAGATAAAATTTCATATATCAATAAATTTCACTAAATATACTTAATAACCTTATCTTTTTAAAATAAAAATATAAAATTTTAAAAATACTCATCATTTAATATATTAAAAAGAGAAGTGATGAAAATTAATTATTAAAAAAAAAAGATAATATTAAAATTGGTGCATTTAATGAAATATTACTCTATCCAAAATGTTTTATATTTTGAAATAAAAAAATTATTTTAAAAATATTTTATAATTAACGACGGAAGGACAGAGGAAGTAATTTGAAATGAAGAGAGTAATAACTAAAGATCATGTTAAAAATTAACGTAAGGATTCGTGTATGTTTACTTTTTCGGTAGATCTACAGTACCCGATTTATAGTATCATCTCACTTTTTCTGTTTTTAAAAATTTGTTACCGTCGGTACCATCGCACTTTTCATTAAAAAAAAAAAATGTTTTTACAGATGGGTAACGTTTTCTTTCTTTCTTTCTTTCTTTCTTTTTTATTTTTTGGATGGATACATCTAATTTTTTTATTTTTATTTGTTAATTTTTTAATATGATATAGTAAATAAAAAAAACATAATGCGGTCCTTGTAGTAAAAAAGGTACATGTGGGATCTATAAAAAATAAATTGTTGATACGAAACTTATATTTGAAAATAATGAAAATATTTTATCTATTTTTATTTTAATTAATCATACCTCTCTTTTATTTTTTTGAAACCTATATGAATATTTTTTAACTTGAATAGTTATAAAATATAAGCTCTCTTTTTATTTTTAAGATTTTATTTTTATTTACCTAACTATTAGTTGACTGTTAAGTCACGTGTGTTAGATTAAAATACCTCTATTTAAATATAAATGTTGTCCAAGAATCATTTAAATTACCAAAAAATTAATTTTTTATTATTTAAATGCATTTATTTTGTAACTTTTTTAAAAAATAAATATATAAATTGGCTAAAAAAGATATTCAAAGATATAATATATGGACTTAGTAAAGAAAAAAAGTAAAATAAAATAATTTTTAATAATTTAGGGTAGTTAAACCAACCGAAAGAAATTTAAAAGCTAAAAGTGTTAAAAGTCAGGTTTGACCATAAATTTTTCATATGGTTAGATATTTTAAACTTATTATAAATTAAGGCTCTAAGTGTAATGGAGAAAATATAATATTTTAATAAACTTTATTTTTAAAAAAATTAAAGTAGTGTGGTTTAAAAAATTAGTGTGTAGGACCTACCATTAAAAAAATACGAGTGAGATTTACATTTATAAATTTTAAAAATTTAAACAAGATCTAAAAAAATAATAAGATTTTTATATTTTGAGAGATCATGTAAGATTTTATACTAAAATTTGATGTGACGGTGAATATATGATCTTTTGGTGAAATAATAGGTTTGAGGGGTTATATATTAAAAATATAAGACAAAGTCTTTTAAGATGTAATAAGTTCCTTTTTCTTTTTAAAATAAACCTATTGAATACATTACTTTATATTTATTTTAAGATGAAATACCATGTTAAATATGAATAAATATGAAAAAAATGGGATTAGTTTGAAGACAGTAATTACTTTATTGAGATGAGATTCAGTTAAAAATGCATTACATTTTTAAACGGAGAGAGTATTTATTAACACAAGGTAACAAATCAAAATAGTTTTTGTGAGCATATATATAACAAGTTTTTGTTTATATTCTTTAAATGCATAAAGAATAAAAATAAATTATTTTATTATTTATATGTAAAAGTTGATTATGATTTGAACGCCTATAAAAAATATTAATGTAGTTATTTACCTCAAGTCCAGGCAAAAAATATTATGGGCTATAAATTAATTATATAATATTAATGAATTTATCTTCTACTGTACATCTAATCTTTTCTTAATGATCATTGTATTATTTGTGATGCTTATAGGTATGATTGATAAATGGTAGTAAAATATTGGTTATATTATTTGCTTGATTTAGAACTATTATAATTATGATTTATGAATAATATTATCACATAAATTGTAGTACAATTGATTATAATATATTTTTACTTTCTTTAAGGTGATACACGGGGTAACACATTTTGAAAAAGAATAAGTTAGATTATATTTTAAATTATAGGATGTGAG